ATGACAAATCTGATTCTCATAATAAATTGCTTGAAAATGACTTTCCAAATGCTGAAAATTTTGAATAAGAATATGAGAACATAGAAAACTACCAACTTACGAGAGATAGGACTAAGAGAACCGCTAAGCAACCATCTAAATTTGATGAATACGACTTGACTTCTTATGCTTTTAGTGTGTTCGAGAGATTAAATGGAAATGAACCTAAGTCCTATAAAGAAGCTTTTAAATCTAAACATGCTGAAAAATGGTTAAATGCAATGCATGATGAAATGAATTCCTTGCATGTTAACAATACGTGGATTCTTGTTCCTAGGCCAACTAATTGTTCTATTGTTGACTGCAAATGGATTTTCAAAGTAAAAAATGAAAATGATAATGTTAGATTTAAAGCTAGGTTGGTAGCAAAAGGATTCACTCAAAAAGAAGGGAATGATTATACTGAAATTTTCTCACATGTGGTTAAATATACTATTGTTAGGATTATGCTTGCCTTAGTTGCTCACTTTAATTGGGAACTAAAACAAATTGATGTTAAAACTGCTTTCTTACATGGTGATCTAAGTGAGAAAATTTACATGAAACAACCCGATGGTTTTGTAGATGAAACTAAGCTTGATCATGTGTGTCTACTGAAGAAATCTTTGTATGGTTTGAAACAATCACCTAGACAGTGGAACATTAAATTCGATGAGTGCATGAGATCTTTAAAATTCACAAGAAGTAATTTTGACCATTGCTTGTATTTTATGAGATCAAATAATGTTCCTGTTTTCTTACTTATTTATGTAGATAACATGTTATTGATTAGTCCTTGTGTGAATACTATCAAGCATGTTAATGATTGTTTGAGCAATAAGTTTGACATGAAATATCTGGGTGATGCAAAGAATATTCCTGGTATGAACATTATTAGAGACAGGGCTGCTTTTACACTTATGTTAAATCAATCTGCGTATACTGAGAAAGTCCTGAAACGATTCTGTATGTCTAATGCAAAGTCAACTAATGTGCCTCTAGCTTCTCACTTTGTGCTAAGTAAAAATCAATGTCCTAAGTCTGAATCTGATATGAATTACATGAAAGATGTGCCATATTCGAATGCTATAGGCTCTGTGATGTACTTAATGATTTGCACTAGACCTGATATTGCATATTCTGTAAGTTGTTTGAGTCGTTTCATGTGTAATCCTGGAACTTAACATTGAAATGCAGTCAAGTGGTTATTTAGATATTTGTGTGGTTCTAGTAACCTAGGGCTAAAATTTGGAAAATGTGTTGAAGGAGTAAAATTGAAAGGTTATGTGGACTCTAATTATACGAACGATAGAGACAATAGAAAATCTACAACATCCTATGTGTTTACTTTGTGTGGCTCATGCATAAGTTGGAAATCACAACTCCAACATATTATTGTTGTATCTACTACTGAATCAGAATATGTTGCAATAACTGATGCTCTAAAGGAAGCGCTGTGGCTAAAAGGTTTGCTTTCTGAAATTGAAATATTGCGTGACAATGTGATAGTCTATTCTGATAGTCAGTCTGGAATCCAATTATGCAAGAATCCTATTTTTTCATGATAGAACCAAACACATAGATGTTAGGTTTCATTCTATAAGGGACATAGTTGCAAAAAGGTCAGTTAAGCTAGAAAAAATACCTTCTCAATTTAACCCTGCTGATATGGCAACCAAATGTCTGCCTGTTTCCAAGCTTCAATCATGTTTAAATATGTTAAATTTTGATACATTGGATTAGAACCGTGTGTGCTCTTCATTGATAGCATGTATTATTTCTATGTGATTAATATATGCCCTATAGAATTGAGTTACTTCGTGTTAGGAACCACCGCAATCGATACCTTTGTGGGTTACCTCGTAGGACGACTTGGAGTTGGTGAAGGAGTGGCTGCGATCTGAGCCTACTTTACCGATTGATCTATTTTCTTTTCAATTCTTAATACATATTTCTGTTTTACATTCTTAATCATCAAGTTTTATCCGCACTAATTATTTTGGTTGAGAATCTGTGCAGATCACCCAACGTTCAGGAAGATCGAGAATCCCAACAACACGAATTATATATGTTTGTATTACGTTAAATTTATACATGTAACAACATTATTTTTTATTTTCTTATATATATAGAGAGAACATATACAGACCAACAACATGATGTTTGGATCGACCATCATCCTCTCATATCAAACTCCTCCAAGTGTCTCTCAGTCGGAAAAAATGGCGACCTCAATGACGGCGGACAGGGCAATGTTGTTCCACCACCTAGGAAGGGCAACACTGCACCCGGGATTAGGAAGGTGGGGAGTTGGATTTATGATCCCGTCAATGGGAAGACTTGCCATCAGGTATTATTCATTCATTTGCATTCAGTTGTTGTTTAGTTAGAGTGAGGGTTTAGGGTAAAATTGGGGCTGAATTTGTTTGTTTGATTTGTGGACTTTTGATGTGTTCTAATTTGTGTGGTAATTGTGGTGCATGCACTGATGCAAGTAAGCTTGATTGATTGTGATATTTATGTGTTGCAGGGAGCTTGGAGGTAAATAACATTTTCTATTTGTTAATTTGGATCGTAATGCAATTAATGTGAAATTAAATATAGAGATCAAATGGTGAAGTAACCTGATTTTCTTGGTTTGGACAGTTTAAAGATTTACATTACCTTTTGTTGATCTTGAAGCATGTTGTAAGCCTGACTTGAAAGATTCAGGCAAATAGCGAACATGGAGGTTATCGGTTGGGCTCTTATTTGTCGTTATGCATTAAATTAAAAGTTGAGTAGTTTACTGAATGTAGGAGTACATTTACTGAATATTGAATAGTTTACCTGTTGTGATAGCTTTAAATCCTTGCATACAAGAAAGCATATTGTGAGTGGAGAAGATTATGCGCAGATCATTTATAGATTGAGACAACTAGTGTGGAAAAATAAATTATCTAGTGTGGCAACTCATGGCATTTAGTCGGTTATTAATTTTTTGCTTCTTTTCATGTGGCTTTAATATGCTTGGTGAAGCTTTTATGACTTATCTTCTATGAAATAAGTTCTCTAAATTGTTTTCATTTTCTCGAATTTTTATGCTTGACGTTTGGAAGTGTTGGCAAAAGACCCTAGATCTTGTGGTAGCATGCAAGTTTCAGAGGATTACCAAACGATGCTTGATTATGTATTGTCACAAGTGTCACTGGAACAGGTTATTTGGATCATCTTTTCATTATGATAATTTTAAATTCAACACTTTATTGTATATTTGTATAATCTAAAGTTATTTTCATTATTTTTTCCAAGTTAGATACGGCGAGAGGGCTAAAGAAGTAGCGAGTTTGGAGTAGTGGACTTGCCCCAAATGCAGGGGCATTTGCAACTGCAGCTTTTGCATGTGAGTCTTCTGAATTATTTTCAAATGACTAATTTGCAGCATTTTTCTGATGGCGTAATTATGCATTCATAGGAGAAAAAGAAATGATAATCCCACTGGTGTTTCCGCAAAGAAAGCAAAAGCTAGGGGATTTTCCTCAGTCGCTGAAATGCTAGTTAAAATGAGAAACTTAGAGCATGCATTGGTCTTTTGGAAAAAAAGAACAAAATACTACTGAAGTCAACGAAAAGCTTACCACAATGAATGATAAATTTACAGCGGGACATGAAAAGTTGTCTCAAATCTCAAGTGAACAGCTAAAGAAAATCAAAAGGTTGGAGATGGAGAACAAGAAGCTTTTGAGTGAGAATAGACGATTGATGAAAGGAAAACAAAAACTTGATGAAGTATTGAATAGTGGGAAGCCATATGGTGATCATAATGGCATTGGTTACACGCATGGGGCTGGAACTTCTCAAACAGCATTTGTCAATAGTGGATTGCTCTCTGAATCAGCTGGTAGAAAGGAAGATGGCAAACTGACTACTATTTCGGAACTCTCTGGAAATCCAGTGGTCGGGCAAACAACTATCAAACTGCAGGTATTGCAAATAATCTGGACACCAAGAGTTGGTCTATGATTGAATCAGACACGATTTATGGCTGGGCAGAAAAGTATTTTGGCCATCAAAACAACTTAACAACATAATTGTGGTGAGACTAGTGTGGAGACCTAAGGTGAATCAAGAAGCATGTCTAGTTGCTCTCTCCATGCAGAACATTGGAATGGAGTCCGTTAATGTGAACTTCCGCAATGAATTGTCTGAGGTAAGAAGTCAAAATTCGAGTGATGATGAATCTGAACTGAAGCAGGGCATAGAGAGATTGGATTTGATTGATTTAAATAAGGGGGAATCAAATTAAGTTTGGACATCCCATGAGTGACCCCACGGGAGCTGATAGTTAGAAATCGCATGCATCTTATATTCATATGATATGCGATATTTGATTGATTTTGATTGAATTCTACCTAATTTATATGTGTATTGTTTATTTGTTGTGTGCAGAGGAAAATATCAAATTTGGCGTAATTGGCAAAAAAAAGTAAAGAAAAATTCAGATTTGCAACACCTAGTTAGTCATGACTAACTATACCCTCATGAAATGAGAAATTTATTTAAAAGCCCAAAAGCCAACTACAAAATAATTAGGGCAAAAATCAAATAGAAATGGAGGATCACACGTAGACTCAAGAGGAGAACGGCCAGAGCAGATATGGAAAAGAGCAGGAGACTGACAAAATCATAGATCGCGCAGGAGCAAATCGACAGAGAAGATTTCCTCTCTCACTATGACTTTATATTTCTATATTGTTCTTTGTTATTTGATTATGGAGTAGATACTTTTCTGATTTGGGGATGATAATGTGTTGGTTCTTATGTTTTTGAGATTCATTGACTTTCTTTATAAGTTCTTTTAAATTATCAATATTTGTCTAATTCTGCAAATAATGTTTGTGATTGTTAGATTGATTGGATATTTTGGTACCAATATTTAAATTGGTCTGATAATGTAAAGTCAATTCAAGTAGGATATCCGTAATTGTATTTGCACTTGAATAGATGACAACCGGGTTGAATAGTTCTTTTCCGGAGGTTAGACAACTGGAAGCACGGGAGTATCGATCCTTATCACAAGAATTAGTAAAGCTAAGATTACCTCCGCAATGATTATCCGGCACCAAGACACCAATTTTACCTTTTCCAGTACGAGATGAAATATCACCTTTTGCTGGTGCACTCGCTACCGGAATTCGATGAGTGGGAGTGTGTGAAGGTTTCTTCGAAGTCGGAGCCAGAGATTTCCCCTTGTTCTTAGTCATCCTGAAGAAAGAAAATTCAAGAAATTAGTTCTTAATCAAGAATATAACCTATCAAGAATGGAGAGAACAGAAATTCGATCCGAACCGCGCCGCAATTCTCTGCACAGCCACCAGCCGTGGCCGCCCTGATCCGACTGACCGGCCGCCGCCCTGATCTGACTGACTGGTCGCCGCCTGCACAGCCGCCGCCCCGTCCTCCTCTGTGCCGCTGTCCGCCAGATCGAACCGCCGGCTGCGCTGCCTGCGAATTGCCTGCCTCAGCCCGAAGCCGAACAGCGCAATCCGGTTGAGATGAATCCAGAGTGAGAGGGGTGGAAGGCTGCACGGGGTAAGAAAAGTGGACAAGAAATTATTTAAATTTATTAGGGTTTAAAACAAATAAATTGCTTTTCACCTCAAAAGTCATTGAAAATTCAAACTGACCCTTCTAGGCCTAAAAACAAGCATGGGCATGCCTAATTTAATGGTAATTTCTGAAATTTAGCATGCCCATGCTTAAGTTAAGGCTAATTTATGGAATTTTTTTATTAATTACATCCAAAATTACTCCGGACATGCTCAAATCAATATCTTCTTAAATCAAGAAAAATAAAATTATTGGACACCAAAAACAAGCGAAATAAAATAAAAATAATAAAAATAAATAACTAATACTAAAATAATAATAATAATAACAAAGCAGGAAATTTGGGTTCCTCCAAAAAAAAAAAAAAAAAAAAAAAAAATCTTTCTTTTAACATCTTTGGCTATACATTATTTGCATGAAACTTTCAATTGGCACATTGATTGTTAAGGACAATCCACGCAACCACCTCGGGTTGAAATCCATCCCAATACAGCTTCAAGCGATGGTCATTGACCGTGAATTTTTTATCTAATTTCAAATTTTGGATTTCCACTGCACCAAAGGGAAAAACATTAAAAACAACGAATAGACCAATACAACGAAAACACAAATTACCTAGAAAGAGTTTAAGCTTCGAATGAAAGACAAGAACTTTCTGACCAACTTCAAAACTTTTCCTGGAGATATGACGATCATGAAAAGCCTTTGTCTTTTTCTTGTATATCATCGAGCTTTCATATTCTTCATTCCGAATTTCTTCAAATTCTTGCAACTGCAGCTTTCTATGGACTCCGGCCTCATCAAAATTCATATTGCATGCTTGACAACCCAAAATGCTCGATGCTCGAATGCAACAGGTAAATGACAGGTCTTACTAAAAACTAACCTGTATGGAGACATACCAATGAGTGTCTTGTAGGCAGTACAGTAGGCCCATAATGCATCTGGTAGTCTTAGACTTCAATCCTTCCTATCAGGTCGAATAGTCTTTTCCAAAATTGATTTGATCTCCCTATTGAACGCCTCAGCTTGACATTTCGTTTATGGATGGTAGAATGTAGGCACTTTGTGTAATACCCATACTTCTTAAACAATTCCGCTATCATCTTATTGCAAAACTGGGTGCCTCTGTCACTCACAGTGGCTCTCGGCATTCCAAAACGAGCAAAAATGTTACTCTTCATGAAATCTGCAACCATTTTTGAGTTATTAGTCCGGGCGGCTTTTGCTTCCACCCACTTCGAGACATAACAACAACAAGTATAATATATAAAAATTCATGAAAAAATGAAAAGGGACCTATAAAATCAATAGCCCACACATCAAATATCTCGACAAAAATAATCGGTACCTGGGGCATTTCTGCTTGAGACGATACATTACCCACATGCTGGCATTTATCACATGACTTACAAAATGAATGGACTTCTTTAAACAACGTAGGCCAGTAGAATCTACCATCCAACACCTTTCTTGCAGTTCTTTTGAGCTCCAAAACATCCTCCACATGCGAGTGTAAGGTAGAATGTAAAGATCGAGTGGAACTCACCTTCCTTAACACATCGTCTTATGACTTGATATGCACATCGTATCCAAAGATAGAGATCATCACGCATGTAGTATTTTGCATCACTCTTCAACTTGTCCTTATTCGCTTTAGGTCAGCCTACAGGGAATCGATTAGTAAAAAGATAGTTCACTAAATCAGCATACCAAGGAATAGAAACACTTAAAGAAAGTAATTCATTAGGAGAGATCTCCTTCAATGGCAAGTCGTTTTCCACGGTGATTGGGAGTCAACTTAAGTGGTCTGCTACCAAGTTCTCATATTCTTTTTTGTCTCGGATTTCCAGATCGAACTCCTGAATGAGTAGAAGCCATCGTATCAATCTCGATTTAGCTTCCTTCTTGGTCATCAAGTACCGTAATGTTGCATGATCAGAAAAGACAATAACTTTAGAACCTAAGAGATAAGACCAAAACTTTTTTAAAGCAAATACTACAGCAAGAAATTCTTTCTTAATCATAGTATAATTCAACTGAGCTCAATTCAAAGCCTTTGATGCATAGTAAACAACATAAGGTGTCTTTCCAAATCGTTGACCCAAAATAGCTCCCACTGCCATATCGCTTGCGTCGCACATCACTTCAAACAGGAAATTCCAATTTGGAGGTTGCACGACTGGCGGGGTGATCAAACACCTTTTCAACTGATCAAAGGCTTTCTTACAAGACTCACTGAATTCAAATAAAACTCTTTCCTGAAGCAACTTGAACAATGGTGATGCAATCTTTGAGAAATCCTTTATGAACCTCCTGTAAAAACCTGCATGACCCAAAAATGAGCGCACTTCTCGAACAAAAGTGGGGTAATGAAGAGTAGAAATAAGATCAACCTTTGCTTTATTTACGCCTATGCTCCTAGAAGAAACAACGGGACCTAAAACCACACCTTGATTAACCATAATTTGACACTTCTCCAAGTTTAACACCAAATTAACCTCACAACATCTTTTTAAGATCAAAGCCAGGTTATCAAGACAATTTTCAAAACTATCACCATAAACACTAAAGTCATCCATAAATAACTCAATGATTTTCTCAATATACTCAAAGAAAATACTCAACACACATCTCTGGAAATTTGTAAGGGCATTGTATAATCCGAACGACATTCTCTTATATGCAAAAATACCAAAGGGGCATGTGAATGTCGTTTTCTCTTGATCCTCTGGTGCTACTGCTATTTGGAAGTATCCTTAAAATCCATCTAAAAAATAATAGTAAGCACGGCCAGCTAACCTTTCGGTCATCTGGTCAATAAAAGGAAGAGAAAAATAATCTTTTTTGGCTACAACATTAAGCCTATGATAATCAACACATTGCCGCCATCTTATTTGGTTGCAAACTGGAACCATCTCACCATCTTGATTTTCCTTCATGGTTATCCCTGCCTTCTTCGGTACCACTTGGATAGGACTCCCCACTGGCTATCAGAAATTGGATAGATTATGCCAGTCCCAAAGCTTTATGACTTTCTTCTTAACCACTTCAGTCATTATTGGATTGAGCTTCCTTTGTGCTTGTCGGACTAGTATTGCTCCTTCATCAAGAGTAATCTTGTGAGTACAAAACAATGAACTTATACCTTTGATGTCTGCAATCATCCACCCTAAAAGCCTCCTTGTGATTCTTCAGAACATGGATCAAGCTGAGCTCTTGGTCGGATGTAAGATTTGATGATATGATCACCGGAAAAGTCTCTTTCTCTCCCAAGTAGGCATACTTCAAGTGATCCGGAAATTATTACAATTTCAACTTTGGTGCCTGCACAATAGATAGTAACAAACACTGATCAATTTTAGGTAAAAATAATGGAGTGAGCTCATACCTTTGTGGAGTCAGGAGAACGGCTCCTAAAGCATGCATCATCCTCTGCAATTTAGCATCTATCATGAGGTCAGAAGCCTCATGAAAACCTACATGATTCACTATCACCACTTCCAACGCATCGGAGGCTCTCATCTCAAGACTATCTTGTACGTTAGTCTTAATAATATCTATAGAAAACAACGAGTGAGTCTCTGTAGGATATTTCATGGCATAAAAAATGTTAAATTTAATAGTTTCTCCATCAAACTCCATCGTGAAAGTTCTTTGCTTCACATTAATTTTAACATTAGTTGTACACATAAAAAGTCTTCCTAAGAGGATGGGTGAAGGATTAGGTGAATTCTCATCTTTCATATCCAACACATAGAAGTCGACAGGAAAATTAATTCATTGACTTGAACTAGAACATCTTCTATAAGTCCTTCAGGGTATGTATTAGTCCTACTAGCCAACTGAATCACAATTCCTATTTTCTTTAGAGGTGCTAGGTTCAAGGAGTTATAGAGTGATTTAGGCATCACATTTATCGCAGCCCTTAAATCTTGCATAGCTCTTCTTCTTTCTAAATTTCCTATCTTGCAAGAAATTGAAAGAATACCACGATCATCACACTTCAGCAGAAGTTTTCTTTGTAAGACCGCAAAAATGTTTTCATTGGTGATAATACACTCGTCTCCCTTCATCCTTCTCTTGTTAGTGCACAAATCCTTCAAAAAATTTGCATATTTTGGGATTTGGCGAACTGCATCTAACAATGGTATGCTAAGCTCCACCTTTCTGAAAACCTCCAAAAATTCTTTATCCTTACTTGGTTTCTTTGGTTTCACCAACCTGGAAGGAAAAAGTGCTTCGTTAGACTTTGTATTAAAAAAGGGTTCAGAATGTACCTCGTTAGCTTTTATGTCTTCTTGTTCAATCTCCTTCTCAATGGTTTCTTCATCTTTGTCCTTTGGAACCACTCGTTGTGGACTCTCCACTACCATACCAGTTTGAAGAGTCATCGCGCTCACATTCTTTGGATTCTTTTCAACTTGGGATGGCCATTTTCCTTGTACTCGCTCATTCAACTGACGTACCTCAGTGGCTAGTTGCTCCACTTTCGCATCCAGATTTTGTATGTTAGCCTTCATATCCTGTTGAAATTGCAAAGTGTTAGCAACCATGGCCTTAACCATATCCTCTAAAGATATACCTGATGATGCAGCAGGTTGGTGTCGTGGGGTGGTGGGCGATATATCTGTTGCACTAGCGCATGTGCTTGGAATCCTTCCAGCTGATTCTCATACCGCAAATTGGGATGATCTTTCCACCCAGGACTATATGTATGGAATAACGGGTTGTACTGCCTGTAGGGCGCTTGCGCAAAGGCGGCTACATTCAGTTTTGCAGGGCTGCCTTCTTGAAGCTTAGGGCAGGAATCAGTCGGGTCTTCTATACTCGTGCAGATGCCACATGCTCTTACTTGCTGAGTCTGACCAACCACCAAATGGTGCACAAACGTACTTAGCTCAGAAAACTGCTGTCGAACAGGATCAGAGGTAGAGCTATCAGCTACTCCACTATCTCGAGTACCAAACTGTTGTGTGTCAATCGTACTTAGCTCAGACAACTATTGTCGAACAGGATCGGAGGTAGAGCTATCAGCTACTCCACTATCTCGAGTACCAAACTGTTGTGTATTTGTTGCCATTCGAAAGATCAGATCCCAAGCATCCCTAGGAGTTTTTTCAGCTAATCCACCTTGACTCGCAGCATCAATGTTGCTTCGATCCGTCCAATTAAGGCCTTTGTAGAAGTATTGGATAAAAAGTTGCTCTTTTATCTGATGTTGAGGACACCTTGCGCACAGGCGGTTGAATCGCTCCAGTACTCATGTAATGTCTCGCCTGGTTGTTGCTTAATCCCACAGATTTCCTTCTTGAATGTTGCAGCTCGAGACGCCAGGAAGTACTTCTCCAAAAAATTTCTTTGCATGTTAGCCCACAAAGTTATGCTTCCTGGAGAGAGATAGTACAACCAGTCTTGCGCTGCATCTTTAAGGAAAAAAAAAAGAACACTCTCAACTTGATTTGTTCCTCAGTGACTCCTGCTGGTTTCATACTCGAGCAGAAACATCAAATTCACGTAGATGCTTATGAGGCTCCTCAAGTGCAAGACCATGAAAAGACGGCGGTAAGTGAATCAATCCAGATTTTAGTTCAAATATAATAGTATCATCAATGGCACGAAAGGTAATGCAGAGAGGTTGTCAAATGAAATTCGGAGCTGCCACTCCCTGAGTGTCCGAAGTTCTTCTCTAGCCATGATAGTATCGTTGTCCTCCTCAGAAGAGTAGAAACTACTTGACTGTGCGTTGGAGCTCCTGTTGGATTCTAGTTTCTTTTTAGCTTCTTTCCTTAACTTCCTTTCTAAATTTTC